TGTACGATAAGAGGTTATCTTTTGAGAGGTTAACTTCTAGGTTACTTTGTTAACTCATTAGTGGCATCAATAATTGGAAAACAGTTGTACATTTGTACATGGATACGTAATATATGCAACTGTCATGAATAAAAACATAAGGAAATGAATGAAAACGCGGTAAGGGTCATTTTAAGGGTTAAAGCGCTCTGAATTTCATCTGCTCAGACATTTCAAATCGTATTAAAGGCTGTGATGGGTGTGCAATGCATTATGTCACATTATTTTTTACAATTATTTTTGAAAGTGCACATGAATCCATGTCATTGCTCTATTCATCAAACTATCATATGTGTCACTATTTATTTTATGGTGGTGAAGAAAAACCTGTTCCCTTTCAGTCAGTCACGTTCAACGTTACGTCGACACTGACATTTAGGGGTCTCACTTGGGAGCCCCAATCACCTCTGAACAACGTAACGTCGACCGTGATTGACCGAAATGAAACGTCTCAGTTATGTTATGTAACCCTTGTTCCCTGAAGGAGGGAACAGAAACGTTACATCCCTCATGCCACAACTTTGAACTGCGCTGAATGCCGGGATGCTTCTCGGCTCCTCAGCACAATCCTGAATGAGTGGATGCACGCCGCCATCTTATATACCCGTATGTACGGGGAGTGGCTTGGCATGCAAATTCCACTCGCCAATAGTCATTGGTCGTTTCTTGTAATGCTCAGAGGTGATTGGGGCTCCCAATTGAGACCCCTAACGTCAGTGTCAACGTAACATCTCAGTTCCCTCCTTCAGGGAACGAGGCTTACCATAACGTAACCGAGACTTGTTTTTTACCTCTGTTAAGTGGTGTCACTGTGATGTTAAAGGGGTCATATGATGCGATTTCAATTTTTCCTTTCTCTTTGGAGTGTTACAAGCTTTTAGTGCATAAAGAAGATCTGTAAAGTTGCAAAGACTAAAGTCTCAAATCCAAAGAGAGATTCTTTATAAAAGTTACGAGTCAACCACGTCTACCTAAAACGGCTCGTTCTAACACACCACCACATGTCTACGTCACGATGTGGGAAGATTTGCATAACGCCGCCCAAATGTTCACGCAAAGAAAGAAGGCGTAACTTTTATTCTCGCTGTAGTATTGTTGTTGCCGCCGCTGCCATGTCGTGAAGGCGCTGTGTGTTTCGTTGTGAAATCGAAACTTTGATATCCGCTTCATCATGCCTGGAGCTGATCCGTGCTGATCGGCTTTCACCGTGGACGAAGCGGAGTCCAGCCCGGGTTCGTCACATGTGGTCCTTAAACCGCATAAACACATTTCATTACACCAAATACACAAAATAATGTTCTTTTTAGCAACATCATATGACCCCTTTAAAAACTGAAATTCTGTCATCATTTACCCCCCTCATGTTTTTCACTTTCGTCTGTCAAAGCAAAAGATATTTAAAAAAATGTCAATGGAGTTCCATGTTATTTTGGATTCAACTGACTTTCATTGTGTGAACAGAAACATTCTTCAAAGTACCTTACACAAAAGAAAGTAATTCTGGAACAACATGAAGGTGAGTAAATGACAGAATTGTGCATCTACAAATGGCAGTTTTTTTGTGCAATGTTCCTCTCTGTTTAATCAAATAAATATAATAAATACTTATAATAATCAAATAATAATATTTAATTATATGATAAATAAAGAAATAATATCATATCTTGTTGCACCCATATTATGATTGATTGGTCCAGTAACATTCAGCAAAATCCCCAAATCATGCTAAAAAGATAATAAATAGAAATCTATTCTTTGTTTATTATGTAAACATGTATATAATAAAACAGGGTTAGACTCTTAAAAACTTCTCTAGACTTTCATAAATTACATTTCAAACATTTTAGCTCTTTTTCTGTGACTGGAAGCAAACGGCTAAAGTAATGCCAATGGCGGCATAAATCAGCATCCAAACATCTTCTGCAACTAAACAATCAACAGACCAGCTAAAACCGGTTTGCCTTTAAGGAAAGCATCTTTCATTCCAAGATGAAGTAATATTCGGGCATTTGCCAGTTCTGCAAAATGTGCACTTTCTTGTAAGTTGCTTTGGTAAGCAAGTGTCCGCTCAGAACATAAATGTGAATGTGATGTAAACATAAGAAAGAACGTGTCATGAAAAAACTAGAAGATGCAAAGCGAAACATGCTGCTAGGATATGAGATGATGATAATAAAACAAAACAAAGGAACAGAGATTTACTAAGATGTTTTTATAAAAAATTATGCACCTCTGAGAATGATCTGGAATGGAAAAATGCTAATCTTGAGATGTCTTATCAAAAGCAATAGAATGTTTTCATCATTGGCATATAAAATCAGTACAGTATAATAATAAATAAAAAAAACTAATGCATGAATGATTCTCTACCATGGCTATAATGCTACTAAAAAGATAAAGGCTCATTTCAGAAAGTGTTACAATGAATCTCATCTTACACCGCCCATGAGTCGAATCAAGTTAGCATTAATTGCCTCTCAAAAACAGCTCATTTAACCGTCCGCTCTAGAGTTAGCCAATCTGTTCAACGATTGATGCTACAGTAGTCCCCTGCAAAGCAGAATGTGAGCTAGACTGGTATCCTTTCGGGTTTAGACATAATAAACTTTCACCGACAAAATAAACAAGTTGCAAATTTAATGTGAGAGTGAATGCAAGTGGACTGAATCATTTACAACACATAAATAGCTCTTTTGGCTCAAAAATGCTCTCATGCATTCCAAACCTCATGAAAAAGTAACATATTAGAAACTGAATCCAAAATATGACAATATGTTTTATATCAATATATTCTGTTGCGTGCATATATTGGCCAATTTATTCAAAATTACTAAAATTTTATCATACATTGTGCAATATATGCTATTATATTATTTACATTTTTTTTTTTTTTGACATATTACAGTACATTCCTAGCATTTTGGATATTCATTTCGATATTATTCTCTTGTATGAAGGCTTTAAATAAAAAAGGAACACAATGTTTAGATAATTAAATAGTTGTATATCTTTTAGAAAGCACCATATTTGACAATTGCCCAGTGAAATGGATCAAAAAATACTTAAGATAAGCACATCTCCCGAATGAACGAGATTATCAGTCGCCTCTATCTATCTAAACCAGTGTGTTTTGACCCACAAATAGAATACCTAAGCAAGTAGGTCTCATCTAATCTGGTTACTTGATTTACAAATAAAACAACAATTACAAGTGTGAACAATCAAGTCTTTGCTCAAAATGTAAAGCCATTCACACAACATACAAATGACGGCTCAATCACGGTTCTGAATTCTGAGCAGGTCTCACAGCACAACACTAAATAAATCATGTTAAGCTCAGAATCGCTAAACTCTCTTTGACCATCAATCCCCTGATCCAAATCAACATCTTCCACAAAGGTTGACCTTTTCTGACGCCTAAAAGGTACAAAGGAGCACTTGATGCGCTGGTCTGTCATGTATAAGCAAACATTACATCCAAACAAACAAATAAAATCTTCACCACACAGCAGCTGCAACTACAGCATAGCTTGTAACCAACCAACATGTATGCTTTACAGCTCAAAACTCACACTTGCTAATGTTTAACGTTCCGATGCTAGTCGAGTAAGAATGTCGATATCATTGATGACCCTCAAAATGCCACAGCAGACAGCAGAAAGTGCATTCACATTAGCAAAATTTTGGTGAAATTTCGCAGGGAAAAAAGGGCCATTGTTTATGGAAAATAGTAGCCATGTATGTTGCACAGCTCAGACAAAGATCACTTTCAAACCAAGCTTTCTGTCAACGCGGCGAATCCGCTGACAAACTTGAAACCCATTGCGAAGTCTACAAGGGGAAATCTTTCACCCTCACACAAAATTTCCAAACATGAGACAAAAATTTGGTTAATGTGACCGCACTTGAATGCTTATCAGACAAATGCCGGATGGTGTTGAAATCCTAAAAAATCAAATACTGAGGTGTTCAGGAGATAAGGTGCAGTCACATTAGCAAAATTTCAGCAAAATTTCTCGTCTATCATCAATAGTGAAACAATGTATGAAGAACAGTTTGTGCAGAAGTCACTTTCAAACTAAATAGATTTTGTTGGTCAATGCGGCAAATCCATGAAATCTGCTGTGGGGAAATCTTTCGCCCTCATGTGAAATTACCAAACGTGTGAATTCCTATTAAAATTACTGCATTTTGCCCCATGAAAAATCGCCGAACTACATTAAATGTGACTGCACCTTAAAGGGGTGGTTGATTGCGATTTCACTTTTTTAACGTTAGTTAGTGTGTAATGTTGCTGTTTGAGCATCACAAACCCTGATAAACCCCGCCCCTGGGAACATGCAACAAAGGGGCGGGGCCATGTTGTGCTGATTTAGAGAAGAGGAAGAAAACTATGGGTGCACGTAAAAACTATTCATATATGAATCACGATTCTGTCTTCTAATGATTCTAATGGATTCACAAGTTTCAAAATCAATGTTCTAAAGCAGCGGTTCTTAATCCTCGCATCTCCCTGCTCTGTACACGCTCTGCATCTCTCTCTCTCTTTCTTTCTCTCACGCTCTCAATCTCTCATTCAGATCACCAGCTCAGCTCCAAAAATAAACTGTTCCATTTATACACTTATTTATTTTCACATAGCTATGAGAAGCGTTATGCATGGACGTGCGGTTGCCATACTGTATTAAAGCTTTAATCAGGATAAAACCATACGTTATATCAAAAGCTAACAGAAGCAGTAGCATTTACAAATAACAGCGTATCTAACGTACGAACTTTGTTACAATAACATTAAGAGCCGTGCTTGCACAGGTTCTGCGCAATCTTCTTCAATAATATCCTCTGCTTCTCAATCGGGCTCAAACTGATAAGCAATATTAACGACGCCATTGTTAAATAATGCATTTTGTTTTAAAAACTAAGCATTAACACATGTTAGACTGCACCCCATAAACACAATCAAGCCTAGAAAAAAACCAGTCAACCACCCCTTTAACAGAAAGCTGCTTGGTTTGAAAGTGACTTCGGTGTGAGTGGTGCTTCATGCATCGCTACACTATTGATAATAGACAACAAAACTTTTTGCTCACAAAATTTTGATGAAATTTCGCTAATGTTACGGCACCTATAAGCAGCAGCCATTATCTGCTGGAAGATCAAATTAATGATATATTATTAACAGAGTTCAGTCTGAAGACTTTTTATAGCACCTTATGTAGGCTGTTAAAATGCCTATATGTGGTGATTGGCCATTGGATGGGGCTTAGCCATGAACCACACACCTATAACCCCTTTAACCTGTCAGTTGGAGGTCAAGGGTTCACCTTCACTTGCTTTTTGATTTGAATTATTTTCCCAGGCTGAAGAAACAGTACAATGTTCAGCCATTTGATGCAGCTTTAGACATTTTTCAAATGTACAAGCTGACTGCACATCTGTACAAGTGATAAGACACAGAACATGCCACATCTCGTCTAACGGCCATTACATGCCCTCTTGGACAATGGCTAGCACGCTAAAATGTACATTTGCCCAGGTATGTCTGTTCAGACAGTGAAAATACATGTCTTTCTGTAGAAAAGAAGCACCATTGGATGATAGAAACACAATATAAACCTTTGGCCGCTGGGAATAGCCCTCTCATCCCAAAGAGATTTTCCCCCAAGGGTCTTCACAGAGGAAAGAGACAGGCGCTGGGTTGCTGTTTCTGGTTTAACCAAAAAAAAAAAAAAAGGCTTGAAAATGGCCTACAAAGGCAGTAGATTTCATTTTTTGTCACTTAAATGGAAAAAAACAGGAACAAGCTTTAAGGAGCCCTATTAAGGCCAATGTATGCCTTTTTATGTAAGGGGGCATCGCATGTTGATGACAAAAATACTATAGTTTATTATGGCACAAAATCCTATCCTCCTCACAGTACAGTACAATTTTATAGTCTTATTGATTAAGGAAGCTGTAGTATTTTTGGCATTACTATAGTACTTTCCAAATAGAGCTTGATAACCAAGAGAAGTGAGGTTGGCATAAACTAAAAATGTCACTCACAGTAGTCACCAAGGTTTTGCTTCAGTACAAGTTTGTGTTCAAAAAGAGTATACATATGTTTATCAAAAATTGCATTGGAATGAAATGTTCCCTTATTCAAATGGTTGTCGCTGCCATCCAAGCCTGTGTCTCCGCCTGTACTGTAGCTTTAACAGATGAATTGTTGTGCTTGTAAAAGAGTGTTTCCATTTTCTCCTCAAATGTGGAGAATTAGCATTAGTATTAGTGTCTGAGTAGAGAACGTTAAACACATCTCAAACGCACGCATAATCATGTGTCATACCATCACTAACAGCCACGGTGCAGGGTGCTAATATATGTTACAAATTCATATGCTTCCCTTTAAAACATGTGGGGTCAGTAAGATTTTTGAATACTTTTATTTAGCATGGACACATTTAAAATGATCAAAAGTGATAGGCATTTATCATGTTACAAAAGATTTCTATTTCATTTCTACAAATAAATGCTGTTCTTTTTACCATCAAAGAATTGTGAAAAAATGTATCATGGTTTTCACAAAAAATATTGCATGGTTATATTGAGCAGTACAATTGTTTTCAACATTGATAATAATAAGAAATGTTTCTTGAGCACCAAATCAACATATTCAAATGATTTCTGAAGGATCATGTGACACAGAAGACTGGAGTAATGGCTGCTGAAAATTCAGCTTTGCCATCACATGGATAAATGGCATTATAAAATATGCTAAAATAAAACTGTTATTTTAAATTCTATTAATATTTCAAAATATGACAGTTTTTACTGTATTTTTTATCAAATAAATGCAGTCTTGGTGAGCATAAGAGATTACTTTCAAAAACATCAGAAAATCTTACTGACCTCAAACTTTTGAATGGTAGTGTACATGGCACTTTTCATGGATGGTTTGCTAATACGTTCAAAATTTGCACTGTGGAATGTCATATTTGAAAATACAAACAAATGTTCGGATTGCTAACGTCTTCTGTATTTGTCAGTATAGCAGCACTGAGATTGTGGTGAGTTTGAGGTATACCTGTGAAAACCCTATGATCTACTGTTGGCAGAATGAAACAGAAGCTTGACAGCTGTTCCCTTATCTGACGCACCATCTGATAAGAGTCACTAAGATGAAATGAGGCATACAAGATATTCCTTTTAATCTGCTCAACATGACGATCCTTCTGAATTTGAGGTAAATGGACTAGAGCAAAACCTTGGAACACAAGCATTTTCTTGTGATACATTAAGCGTAACGGAAAAGAGAAGAGGAGTAAACCATTGGATTCAGGGGTGGACGTGAAGACGTTGGCTGGCTGAGCAAAGGTGGAAGGAGCTCAGAGTTTGGGAAGAGTGTGGCCTGTAATCTCTGGGACTTCAGAGGAGAGTGGCGTGGTCTGGGTCTGCTGTGTCCATACTAGCCAAAATGGCTTTCTGGTCTTCTCGGGGCGGGCGGCGGTACAGCAGAGCGGAAAAGCGGGCGTACGGGTCCTGGCGAGTCAACTTTTTCTTCTTCTTGCGGAGGTAGAGAGCTTCTTCTGGCTGGAGGACCTGAGAGGTGTGGGGCTGCTGGGTCTGAGAGGGGGGCACACCTGTACAGAGAGAAAGACTGATGAGCACATGAGGACAGGTGTGCTAAAAGTGAGGAAACATGCTGCAGTGAGACACTAAGGTAAACCAGTAGCAAAAAATGTCAGGTCTCTCTGAGTGTCATCTAGCCTTAATAAAGGACTTCATATTTAACATTCATCCAGTAACTGAAACCGGCGCTACTTTCATGCCTCTCGTATCACAAAACAGAGAATTTCAGTTTTAGTATTACTATTCTTACAGTGTTCGTTGATCCAGTTGTTTTTTCTTAGTGGAAGCTTTAATATAATGTATACTAGCATTCAAAAGTCTGGAGTCAGTGAGAATGTTAAAGTTTTTGAAAGAAGTCTCTTATGCTCACCAAGCCTGCATTTCTTATGATCAACTTTGAAAACAGTTACGCTGCTTCATATTTTTGTGGCAACTGTGATAGATTTTTCTCAGGATTTTTTAATGAATAAAAATTTCTAAAGAACAACATTTATTTGAAATATATCTTTTGTAACATGTTTCTTTCTCTACTACTCACAATCTTACCGACCCCAAACTTTTGAATAGTAGTGTACATTCCAAATAACATCAAAATATAGGTAACACTTCACAATAAGGTTTATACCTATACAGTATTTATTAATCTTAGTTAATGTTAAGTTCAACATTTACTAATACATTATTGAAACCAAAAGTTGTATCGGTTACATATGTTCCCTTTCAGTCGATCACTCTCGACGTCACGTCGGATGACCGACGAAATTGGGATCTCGCTTAGAGGGACCAATCTACTTCGAGTGTAAACTAAACGAGCCAATGCACATTGGCATGCGATTATTGCA